AGCTTTGCCAGCTCCAGATACACTACATTGATTCTGAATTTGATTTTATTTATGATAAAGTTACAGCACTAATTTACTCCCTTTGAGAGGCAAAGATAATCTTAATCAGCAGCTGGTTATCAAATTAAGGAAGTTTCTCCTCCTTTGTAGTCAGGAAACATAGTGCTATACTGGTACTCTTTCCTTGATAGCCTTTCAGTATATCTTATCCAAAGATGTGGCCTTGTCCTCATACTGTCTGTCTGCCAAATACATGTCTGATGGAACTTGGAACACAGGGAACAGATCCTGATCTCATTTATACTTGTGTACGACTGGAGTAACTGTACTGACTTCACTGGGGTTACTTTACATACATACCAAAGATCAATTCTGAAATCAAAATCTGGCTATGTAGTCCAGCAGCCACTCTGGTAAACCTTGCTTTAGGGTTCAAACAAGGTTGTCAGGGTGATGGGGTGTGTGTGTGTGTGTGTTATGGATTCTGTATCTGAAGACCAAACATTTAAAATCTGCTTGATGACATTCTCACTGTTGAGCATTCTGAAATACCAGCATTTCTTCCCTCCCTCATCACCCTCACCCCCATAATCAGTAAGAGTTTGCATGATTTTTGGTATACAAAAAAAAAAAAAAAATCAAGGCAGAAGAGTTATAATACATGAAATGCATGTATTTAACATTTGCATTAGCAATCAATAACAGTGGTGTGCCATGACATTTTTAATCAGGCATGCAATTCTCTGATATTTATGCCTCATTGGTGTCATTTATGTTCACACTGTTTTCCACCAGCTAGATAAGTAGAAAGAAGTGGTGAAAAGATTACTTAAAATATCACAGATTGTATTTGTCAAGAAATTCTACCTATATATCTAAAACTCTGAGATCTGCAGTAGTTGTGATGAAAACAGAGGTGCAAAGAAATACTGTGGGACCCTTTGCAAAGTAAATATTGCACTCAATGCACAGATGTTCATCCAAATGTTAACTGTTTGGAAAGAAGTGCTACTTCGAAGCATACTGAGGTGGCTCAGATCATAATTCAATTACTTCTAAAATTCTTTGCAACTTTAACTAATGTAATGAAAAGTTTAGGAAGCCTAGAAGTATATGAATTGGAATTTGAATGGTAAATCCAAAATGTTTAACCTCTAGTCACAATGGCCTTGTCTACACTGGCAGTGTAGCGTAAGATATGCCACAGTGAAAAGCAGGGTGCATCCATACTGCAGAGGGTAGCTACACGAGGCAGTGAAAGGCTGTGGTGGGGGGAGGCAGAAGGGAAAGTCTCCAGCAACACCTTGCTGCTGGAGACTTTCCATGGTGCTTTCCCTCTGCCAGAGCCTTTTCCCACAGCTGGGAAAGATCCTGGCAGCTTCCTACCATTGGAGCCATTTCCTGTAGTGGGGAAAGGCTCTGGCATCTCCCTGTGGAGAGGAAAAGCTCTGGCAGTGGGACATAATAAGAACATAAGAATATAAGAATGGCCATACTGGGTCAGACCAAAGGTCCATCCACCCCAGTATCCTGTCTACTGACAGTGGCCAATGCCAAGTGCCCCAGAGGGAGTGAACCTAACAGGTAATGATCAAGTGATCTCTCTCTCCTGCCATCCATCTGCACCCTCTGACAAACATAGGCTAGGACACCATTCCTTGCCCATCCTGTCTAATAGCCATTAATGGACTTAACCTGCATGAATTTATCCAGTTCTCTTTTAAACCCTGTTATAGTTCTAGCCTTCACAATCTCCTCAGGCAGGGAGTTCCACAGATTGACTGTGCGCTGAGTGAAGAAGAACTTCCTTTTATTTATTTTAAACCTGCTACCCATTAATTTCATTTGGTGGCCCCTAGTTCTTACATTATGGGAACAAGTAAATAACTTTTCCTTATTCACTTTCTCCACACCTCTCAAGATTTTATATACCTCTATCATTTCCCCCCTTAGTCTCCTCTTTTCCAAGCTGAAAAGTCCTAGCCTCTTTAATCTCTCCTCATATGAGACCTGTTCCAAACCCCTGATCATTTTAGTTGCCCTTTTCTGAGCCTTTTCTAATGCCAGTATATCTTTTTTGAGATGAGGAGACCACATCTGTACGCAGATGGATCTAGACTGTTCTCAGTGGCTGGATCTAGACTGTTCTCAGTGGTAGCAGATGACAGAACGAGGAATAATGGTCTCAAGTTGCAGTGGGGGAGGTTTAGTTTGGATATTAGGAAAAACTTTTTCATTAGGAGGGTGATGAAACACTGGAATGCGTTACCTAGGGAAGTGGTGGAATCTCCTTCCTTAGAAGTTTTTAAGGTCAGGCTTGACAAAGCCCTGGCTGGGATGATTTAGTTGGGGATTGGTCCTGCTTTGAGCAGGGGTTTGGAGTAGATGACCTCCTGAGGTCCCTTCCAACCCTGATATTCTATGATTCGATGATTCTATGATACCATGGATTTATATAAGGCCAATAAGATATTCTCTCTCTTATTCTCTATCCCTTTTTAAATGATTCCTAACATCCTGTTTGCTTTTTTGACTGCTGCTGCACACTGCATGGACATCTTCAGAGAACTATCCATGATGACTCCAAGATCTTTCTCCTGATTAGTTGTAGCTAAATTAGCCCCCAACATATTGTATGTATAGTTGGGGTTATTTTTTCCAATGTGCATTACTTTACATTTATCCACATTAAATTTCATTTGCCATTTTGTTGCCCAATCACTTAGTTTGTGAGATCTTTCTGAAGGTCTTCACAGTCTGCTTTGGTCTTAACTATCTTGAACAGTTTAGTATCATCTGCAAACTTTGCCACCTTACTGTTTACCCCTTTCTCCAGATCATTTATGAATAAGTTGAATAGGATTGGTCGTAGGACTGACCCTTGGGGAACACCACATTCTGAAATTTTACCATTTATTCCTATCCTTTGTTCCCTGTCTTTTAACTAGTTCTCAGTCCATGAAAGGATCTTCCCTCTTATCCTATGGCAACTTAATTTACCTAATTTACATAAGAACCTTTGGTGAGGGACCTTTCTGGAAATCTAAGTACACTATGTCTACTGGATCCCCCTTGTCCACATGTTTGTTGACCCGCTCAAAGAACTCTAATAGATTAGTAAGACATGATCTCCCTTTACAGAAACCATGTTGACTTTTGTGCAACAATTTATGTTCTTCTATGTGTCTGACAAATTTTATTCTTTACTATTGTTTCAACTAATTTGCCTGGTACTGACATTAGACTTACTGGTCTGTAATTGCCAGGATCACCCACAACATGAACAGTTTCATATTTGGGTTCAGAATTATTTTATTTAAAAAAAACTGTATTTTTTAAAATAAAAACGGTCAACGTCAATATATTCTTTTAAAATGATCAAAATACAATATTTAAATTTTTCTAAACTGATTTTTTTACATTCATTTCATGAAAATTTTCAAGATTTTGAATTTTTTGTTATTTGAAATAGGAAAACATTTAAAATATTGATTTTTTCTCAAGATGGGAAAACCATTGTCCATTCAAATTTAACACTAAGTATTAATTCATTATTATTATTATTACTATTATTATTAACTTCAGTGGGAGTTCTGGGCAGTTGATATTTCACAGCATCCAGCCTTCTTTTGGAAGTGATATATTTCTTCAGCTTCCATTTTCTCTCTTTATTTCTTCAGCAGTCTGGATAAATGGAAAATTGAGATTGATGGTATCACCCAATACTCCAAATCAGGTAGAAGCACTTTAGGTTTGGAAATACTGATTATCTGTATTGTGTAAGGCAGGTACATTTCTAGAAAACAATTTGGCATATCTCTACATCAAGTGCAAAGTTAATCATGTTGCATGTGGATAGTTGGCAATTGATTTGCTGAGAACACCTCTCAGGTTTTACTCCTCTGGAGTAAACAGTTATTTTATTTTATTTTATTTTGTGCTATTCAGAATGTTTTACAGAACTCTGCCACGTTCAGGATGTATGCTGAAGTTGTTTGTTGATTTTCTATTTGCTGTTATTTGAGACTAAAAGCATTTCTCATTATTTTATTTACCACTCAATTGAGATGGTAATTTGGCTTCATTGAACTTGTGATGGTCTTTAATGTTCCTTTGGCAGTGCTTTCACTGAGCATACTTGGTCACAAACCATCCTTACAATTGTTACTTTGATACAAGAGCATAAAAACAAGTCTCAGGGACTGAACAATTTCTTTTCTATATGACTGAGTTAATAGCATATATTTTACATGTGTATTTTACATGTTAATTAAGTTCTGACATTGATAATACTTTATAACTCCTATTCACAAAAAAAACAAAACAAAAAAAACACCACCCCACCACACCACCAACAAAGGATTATTAAGTAACTCTTGGGATTGCACTGTTTTTCCACGTTTATGTAAAATTTTATTTGTTCTTTCTCTGTTGGTTTCAGAAAGACAATTAGGTTATTGGGCCACAGAAGTCAAGCAATCTGTTTGGCTAATGAATATTTTAACCCATGCAGATCTCTCATTGCCAAATAAGTAAGAATTCATTAAAGGCAGACTGGCCAGAAAAAAAAAATCCATTTACTTTCCCAATAATCTCTCCCACTAACCAAGCAGAGAGGATCATTCAACAGCACACAAACAAAACTAAACTTTGTAAAAATTCTCTTTAGGATTCAGTGAGTTTGTGCCAGCAGATCTCCCACTGTGATAGCCCAGGATGAGGCATCAAAGCTATAGGACCAAGAAACTGTAGGATATAGTGCTGGCCACTAGGGTTTCCCACCAGTACTGTACCATATCTAGAGTGAAATTCTAGCCTATTGGAAGTTCATCTTGTATCTTAATAGATGGTGCAGTTTTCAACATCCTTTGTACTATTCTACAAACCAAAAGTTATAAAACAACATTAGAGAGAATCTGCATTCCAGGAAAAAAAATAATAAAAGAATGCAATATTCTGAATGCAATTTCCAAAAACAATAAGAAATAAATAAACAAGTCTTCAGCAGAGGAAGATATTTCCTGTTCATCCTTATCCCTCCTCTTGCTCATTTTAGCACTGAAAAATCTCATACTTGCACTTATTAGAACTGTTGTAGATGTGCCTCTGGCTTCCTTACTGTGGGAAACCCTCCTAAAGCAAAGAAAACACTGGATTCAGGCTTTTATAGCATGCAAGCTGAATATATTTTGTAAGTCATTCAAATCTCTGGGCCAAACCCTGCTCATTTTACCCACATAGGCAGTCCACACTAATGTGAATAGTCCCTTTGACTTCATGGTGGATTCTGACTACAACAGGACCACTCATAGGAACTAGGGTGTGTCAAACTTAATTCTCTAATAGTAGAACCATCAACTTTTTCTTACTTTCTCACGAGTTCCTTTATAGAAAAATCCTATCAAATTTAATTAGGATTCCTAAGGGTGTGATTCCTATGACACTAAGGCCTCTTTATGCCAGGCTGCAGTGTAAATGAGAATCCAGTCTTATACCTATAGGGATCTATAGAAATTACTTTTAAAACCTACCATATGTAGTAGAGAAGGACATTATTTCTACAGTTTTTTGAGCATTTCTATGGAATTTTATAGCAGAAGAGAGAAATGCCCCAAACCTTATTTCCTGTTAAGTTCTTTAGGATTTTCCACAAGGTTTGTCTCAAAAGCATTATCAGTGCCTTGGAGTTAGAAAATAATTTAAAGGGAAAAAATGTAACATGATAAACACTATTTTTGTTATAGGAGTTTGTTATTTCTTTATACTTCTATTGATTTAATGACTGAACATTCTGCAATTACCAGTGTTCTAGTATAGATATTTTTTGCACAGACATTAGGAGAGTTGCGTTGCTGGGTTTTAATTATTTTTATAAGGCCAAAAATAAAATTAAAAAGACAATTTAGGGACTCATCAAAACTAACTTTATTATTAATTATTATTATTATAAATAATAATAATAATTCTTTTGGCATACATAAAAACAAACTATTCTATAGCATGGTAAAAGCTCTGTACATGATGGCTCTGTGTTAAAACTCTAGCCCTGTAATAGCTTTGAAGCAGAAGAGGTTTGGCAGTACTTCAAAGCTGAGAGGGACTGGCACAGCTAAAAAGATCTCTCTCCTCCTTTCAAAATACAGCAATAGGGCAGGAGAGTCTTTCTAAATGAAGAAAGGATTAAAACAATTTTTGGCTAAAGAAAACAGAAAGACAAAGGAAGTTGGTACAAGCTACAATGCTTTTAAAACAGATAATAAACAAGGACAGGAATGTGTCTGAAGCAATTTTTGAAAAGAGAATGGTTCACTGAATTAGCTTTCTCAGAGTTTAAAATTGGGAATTACACTAATACCAGTTAGAAACTGGGGTAATGTCTCATTAAACAGTGTTAGAGGAAGATGGTAACTGGTACATACAATAATCTTTCCCTTTGACTTTCTAAAACTGAAAAAGGATGGTCCAGGAGCTTTTCCTTCACTAACAAAAACCCACTGAACAAAACAAATGATGCCTCTTCCACTGACTACTCATCCTGATGGGGACATTCAAATTAGTCTTTAATGATGTGAAGAAAAGCAGTGATTAAATGTGGGGGAGGGGGAAGAATCCCTTCCAGATGTACAGCCTGAAATGAGATCAACAGCTCCAAACAGATCTGCACATAAAAGCAAGAGAGCATGTTGCCACTCAATAGGCCTTTGCTTCTCTGCTATTTCAGCCAACAGTCTGAAAAGAGCACTTAGTCACAGAGTAATGTCCTCTGCCAACATACTCAATGACATGTGCAAAAACATCCTATTTCCACATAGATATTGTCTGGATCAGGAGGTCGATATTAGTTCTGGGTTTGATATATAGAAAAACCTTCAAAGAAACTCACAGGAACACAACATGTGTTCTAGGGCCAAAATCCTGGTCCCAATCAAGTCAACAGAACTTTTGCAATTGATTTCAATGGGATTAACATTTGGCTTTAGCCCTGATTTAATCTTGGCAATTTCTCTTTGAAGGGCTTAACTGTAGCCTACAGGTGTCCCCAAGTCTTGAGTTCTGCTTTCAGTTTCAAGTTAAAAAAAACCTAAACCCCTAACTCTGAAATCTTAATTCAGGTTTTCCCACCTTTGTTTTGTATCAAAAGTAGGCAGAAGAGCAAATTTTGCATGATTTAGTACAAAACCCATCATGAATCTGTCCAAGTCTGCTCCAAGCTGGTCTCAGTTTGGACAGAACATTTTGTGTACCTTAGCAAACCCTTATAAGAACTTAGTTTGAATTTCATATTCATAATGGCAAACAAGCTTGGACCTAATGCAGTGGGAAAGAGAGAGCCAGTGTTAGGATTCAGAGAGAGAAAAAATGGATATTGCCAAACACAAGGAAGATAATATTAATAACTACATTTTGAATGGTTTGAACTCAGGAAGATAATATTAATAACTACATTTTGAATGGTTTGAACTCAGAGGGTTCGGATGTATGTGTCATGGAGGCTAGGGAGGAGTAATTCACAGTTATCAATAAAGGTAATGGTGAAATCCTGGTCAAGTGCTTTAGTTGAGTTAGAAATACTGTGCAAGAAGAAGGGATGAGGCATGGACTCAGAGGGCTGGATTCTCAGTTGGTGTCAGTTTACATGTCAATTTATACCCACTGGGGATTAAGCCCAAATTATATAAACAATAATTAATAGCAATTAAAAAGTCCAAAGAACTACTTACTATGTCTCACACACATAAAGCTTAAATCAAAAATGGATGAAGTTCAGAGCAGAACGGAGAACATGACTCATTACCGCCACATTTCTGCTTCTCCCACCTCACTGTCTTCACAAATCTGTGAAGAGTAATAGTACATCCCCACATTAATAATACAGAAGAGAGTCTGTCCTCAGATCATTCTCTATAGCTCCCACTTACTGTGTCCGAAACCGTCAGTTCAAAGCATTTACCAAACACTTTTAAACTGAGAAAACTCACGTCAGCAGTGTCCACCAATATACATGAAATCCATCATTTGGGATTTCTTCCCAACACAGGAAAGATCAGTCCTCTGTTTGTACACTGATATAAGGCATTCTAAATTTCAATTTCATTTAATTTCAAGTTTCTGACAGAAACAAAAAATACCAACTGTACAGCCAAACATTTCTAAGAAGGTAAATAGTAAAGGAAATAATTAACAAATCACCACTGAATTCATGTCAATTCAGGTCAGTGGAGAAGGGTTGAAAACAAACGTACCATGTGTGGTCACTATCCACATTCTAGCTGCTATAGCCCCCCATGGGGGGAAAACACATTGAAAAACTACTCAGAGGTCGCAGATATTGCAGTTGTAATCAACTGCTATGTTCATAACAATACCACAATTACTAATAAAAAGAAAAGGAGTACTTGTGGCACCTTAGAGACTAACAAATTTATTTGAGCATAAGCTTTCGTGAGCTACAGCTCACTTCATCGGATGTATTCAGTGGAAAATACAGTGGGGACATTTATATACACAGAGAACATGAAACAATAGGTGTTACCATACACACTGCAAGGAGAGTGATCACTTAAGGTGAGATATTAGCAGCAGGAGAGCGGGGGCCAGGGGGCGGAGGAGGGGCCTTTTGTAGGGATAATCAAGGTGGGCCATTTCCAGCAGTTGACAAGAATGTCTGAGGAACGGTGGGGGGGTAGAATAAACATGGGGAAATAGTTTTACTTTGTGTAATGACCCATCTACTCCCAGTCTCTATTCAAGCCAAAGTTAATTGTATCCAGTTTGCAAATTAATTCCAATTCAGCAGTCTCTCATTGGAGTCTGTTTTTGAAGGGGTTTTTTTTGAAGAATTGCAACTTTTAGTCTGTAATCGAGTGACCAAAGAGATTGAAGTGTTCTCTGGTTGGTTTTTGAATGTTATAATTCTTGACGTCTGATTTGTGTCCATTTATTCTTTTACGTAGAGACTGTCCAGTTTGACCAATGTACATGGTGGAGGAGCATTGCTGTCACATGATAGCATATGTCACATTGGGTAGATGTGCAGGTGAACAAGCCTCTTATAGTGTGGCTGATGTGAATAGGCCCTATGATGGTGTTCCCTGAATAGATATGAGGACACAGTTGGCAATGGGCTTTGTTGCAAGGACAGGTTCCTGGGTTAGTGGTTCTGTTGTGTGGTGTGTGGTTGCTAGTGAGTATTTGTTTCAGGTTGGTGGGCTGTCTGTAAGCAAGGACTGGCCTGTCTCCCAAGATCTGTGAGAGTGATGGGTCATCCTTCAGGATAGGTTGTAGATCCTTGATGATGCATTGGAGAGGTTTTAGTTGGGGGCTGAAGGTGACGGCTAGTGGCGTTCTGTTATTTTCTTTGTTGGGCCTGTCCCGTAGTAGGTGACTTCTGGGTACTCTTCAGGCTCTGTCAATCTGTTTCTTCACTTTAGCAGGTGGATATTGTAGTTGTAAGAATGACTGATAGTTGTCAAGGTCCTCATCCCCCCCCACTCTCCTGCTGGTAATATCTCACTCTCGTTACAGTAGGTATGGTAACGTCCATTGTTTCATGTTCTCTATGTATATAAATCTCCGCACTGTATTTTCCACTGAATGCATCCGATGAAGTGAGCTGTAGCTCACAAAAGCTTATGCTCAAATAAATTGGTTAGTCTCTAAGGTGCCACAACTACTCCTTTTCTTTTTGCGAATACAGACTAACACAGCTGCTACTCTGAAACCTGTCATTATACAATTACTAATAAAGTTTTAGCAATTGTCTCCAATTAGTACATGCGGGGGGTGCAGGAAGGGAAGGGCATTGCACACCTTGTTGCTTCTGTAGCTCACTGCACACACCAGGGGCTCCTTGCATCCCTCCACAAGGTCCATGTGTGCCACCTTCCTTATCCCCTTCTATTTCAGGGACTCCCCGCCCCACCTCCTCCCTCATGCCAGGGGCTCTGTGTATCCCTTCTCCCTCCCCCACGTCCACTATGTTAGGGCCTCTGCATACCCCATGCTCCTTCCCTGCAATGCCAAGATCTCTGTATGCCCCACATTCTCCCCTCCCACCAAACCTGGGTATCCCACTCACACACACCCATGCCAGGAGATGTGTGTGCTCCCTTATTCATCCCTCTTTTTACCATGCCCCCATTCCCCACCATGGCAGAGGCTATATATGCCCTCCATTCCTTCCTCTGCCATATGCCTAGGGCTGTATGTGTCCCTCCAGCCTCTGTCACATGCCTAGGGAATCTGTCCCCCCATCTCCCAAAGCATTGTCCCCTGTTCTCCATGCCCTAGCACCATTCCATGGCTTGTATGCCCTCATTCTCCCCTTCCACCACTATCCCCCCATAACTTCTTCCTCATGTTGTGCCCATACCAGGGCCCCTCATCTCTCCCACTCCATGTCAGGAGTTCTTATGTCCCCCATTCTCCTCTCCTGCCACACACCAAGGGTCCTGTCTACCATGCCCCCCCTCCCCTCTATCATTCTGATTTCTTTTTCTTTCAGGTATCAACATTTAAAACTCAGTTGGGACATGGACAGAGCTGAGATGGGGTTGTTGGTATCCTGGGACATGATAATGTCTGCCATCAACCAGTTCTTTGATGTAAAGACAATTACAGAAGTAGTTGAAGCTGCTGGGTTTGCTAACCAGACATCAGTGGCTGTGTGTGCGTCCCCATTTCCCACTTCCAGTTTTCCAATTTTCACCAGAATCAATAGGGTTCTGCCCATTGTTGTCAAGAATATTTCCTGAAATTCTGGATGCTGTGTTCCAAATTTATCAGATTAGATCCAAATATAGAACTGCCATCAAATTGAGTCTGGGATCTTGCAAGCTCAGCCAATTAATCTTGAGTCAGTTTACTGATTGTCAGTAAAATTCCATAGTCCATCAATCATACTGTGTGTCTTGCATAGAGAAAAATGCTTAGATCAAAAACTTGATTAAAGCCAGTCAGTGATAAAGACCTTCAATGCAGCAACATTCAGACCCAGAAAGGTGACCCCCTTACAGACCAAATTTCCTCTTACCTCGTCTTTCCTTTAATTTAGGAATGTGTTCATTAATTACAATGTGGATACAAATGGCCTGAGCTTGCACTGCTTACACTGGCCCTAATTCAGCAAAATCAATGGGACTCAGGTGCGTGCTTATGTTCTTTCCTGAATCAGTGCCCAAATGTGGGGAAATTTTGACTGATTAAGGAGTATATGATCAGGTCCATGCTGTGAAATGTTTTATATAACCTTTCGGCATTTCTCTTATACCCTTTTTTTAAGCATCCTGTAAGTGTCCTTCACACTCAAGCCAATAGCACATTTAATCCAATATATTACATATAGTTGATCATTAATCTTTAGTAATTAATCTTTAAATTTCAATCTACCAGGCAAATGGGGCATCATGACACCTGGTGAGTGTGGATGAAAACATTGCATAGTATTTCCACTGAAGTGGGAAGTTGGCAAGTAGCTGAAAGATTAGAAGATCTGGGGAGGTTTAAAATCTATTTCTAGATACCAAATAATTGCTAATATTGAGATTTCTCATGGAAACTGTCTAAACTATGGATGGGTAATTCTGCCAATAAAGATGGCATATTTCCTACTATGTTAGTGTCTGCAAATAATATCGCTAAATGTCTTTGAAAGTTGAACTTAATTGGAAGCACAAAGAACTTGAAAGTTCCTTTTTGCTTGTGTTAGAAAAAAAGAAAAAGAAAAATGGGCTGCAATATAGAAAACATTTCAGATCTTGATACTGATTCCCTTTATAGGGATTGTCGTGCTTGTTTTTTTTTTATTTTTGGGGGTTTTTTTTGTCTTCATCAACAGAGCATAGCCTCTCAACCTTCAAGAGCAGATGAACTAGAAGGACTAAAGAGCAGCTTTTTCCAGATAGACACAGAATTGTCTCTCTCTGCAGTAATTATGAGGATCCATAGGTTTTCTGTCATAGTGTGAATTGAAGCTTACTCAGGGAGTACTAACAATAGAGTGAATACTATGATCCAGTCACTATTTGAAGCATCACATTTACTTTTTCAAATTATGAATTTCACTAATGTTCTTTTTACCCCCTATCTGCATCAAACAAACAACTTTACACATCTAAACCACTTTGTATAGCCTGTAAAGTTATTTCCTACAAGTTATTTTCTTTTTTGCACTTTATTTTTTTTTTAAATTCATAAACAAACAATGAATCACACAACAATACTGCAGATCACAAATATTATGTGGACTAATTAGTATGTGATGGGCTTCACAGGACACTTCCACCATTCCCCTTGCCTGTTTCAAAAACCAAACCAAACCCTTATTTGTATTATGGATAAATGATGGCAGAGCTCCATAACTAAGGCCCCAATCTGCAAAGATTTATACGTATTCACCTTTACCCACATAAGTACGGATATTGAAGACAAGTACATGTATAATTCTGTGAAGATGTAATGCCATTACATACCCAATATTACCTCTATCCCTTGTTTGAGAAGCACAATCTTAACCCTTCATGTTTCTTCAGTTTCTGTATAAGATATTTATATGGCCCTCAAAACTGTAGTATCTGAGCTCCTCACCATCTTTAAATGTATTTAATCTCACTACATGCCTATCAGGTAGGACAGTACTATTTTCCAGATGTGGAATTAAGGCACACAGTGTGAGCTCCACTAAGGTACTTAGGCACCTAATTCCCATTGAAATCAGTAGGAGTTACGCACCTACATTCCTTTGTGAATTTCCCACAGAGAGACTAGGGGCCAGATTTTTAAAGGCAGTCAGATATCTGAAGGTGCCAATAGATGCCCAGTGGGATTTTCAAAAGCCTGGGAGTTGGGCACCTAGATTCTTAAGAAAAAATCCACTAGGTGTCTACCTGAATCTCTAGGCACAAAAATAGCCTTAAAAATCTGGTCCTTAGTAACTAACACAAGTTCAAGTAGGAAGTTTGTGGCAAAGCAGGAAATTGAATCTGGGCCTCTTGAGTTCTAGGCTAGTGCCCTAAACAGGACATTATCCATCCTCTCTAAATAGTCTTCTTCCTCCTCCTCCTCTTCTATAAAACTTACATACATGAGTGGTAATATGCACTCCCGGATCTCACTGAAGTCTGACTGTTCCTGTGATTAAAGTTAAGCATGTGCTTAAATGCTGTACTGGAGCAGGGCAAGTATTCTTAATATCTTGGGGCTTTTCTGTACTTCCAGTGCAGCTGTACCATTGGACCACTTAGTCAAGACGCTACCTAGGCCAACAGAAGAGCTTCTCCCATCAGTGTAGGTAATCCACCTCCCAGAGAGGTGGTAGCTACGTTGACAGGAGAAGCCCTCCCCATCAACATAGCACTGTATACACCGGGAATTAGGCCAGTGTAGCTCTCTTGCTTAAGGATGTGGACGTAGTTATACGACATACGTTTGTAGTGTAGAACAAGCCTTGTGGGCCCAAACCCTCAGGTCATTGATAGGTGCCTGCAACTTTACATTCACCTTAATGCTGTGGGGTGCACGAAAAGTTTAATTCTATATAAGCTATGCATGACTGTGTACTACTTGGAGATGTGCAAATTGTCATATCTTGCTGAATTATAAATGATTTGTTTACTATTCCTCAATCTTGTTATGTTGTGTGGACTATTTAAAAAAAGGACCTAATATATAATGCCCTTCAGTAAAGGGAACAAAAGAACAAGAAACCAACTGGGTGATAAAGGTAGTGTTAGCGCTGTGGTTTTTGCAAGCTACTTTTTATGCAGAATACCTGATCAAAGTAATTTCCATATGAAAGACAGCAGAATTCATACCTTTTTTGTGGTGATTGGAGGAGCTTTTGTATCTCTGCTTCAGACATATAAGGTCAGTGTTTAATGTTCTTGTATGGATCACTATTTAAACATTTGTGTGTGTACCACAGCCTTTGTTTTAGTTCTCCAACCTAGAACTTGTTTTCTAGTCGTTTCTCTACAGGAGCTGCATACTAATTGCAAATGTAACACTTACAAGAAAAATGGAGACTGTTCGATCCAAAATGTGGACTGTATTATCAACTGAATAAGATCAGATTAATAACTAATTATCCCCCATAGTGTGGTATGACTAAACTAAATCCACCCTCCTCCAAAGGCAGGATATAACGACCTAAAATTATTTTCCATTTCTAACTGGAAATGAGTCAATCTGGAGAGGAACTTATTTAGTTAATTTTCATAACCTCTAAATGTAAAGGACCCATTTTAACCACAAATATCCTTTATGTGATTCCATTCTCTGTGTGGAATTTCACACAGAAATGTCATGGACACTATCTTTACAATTTTGATTTGTGAGTGTGAGATGACCAACACAGACAGCAACTTAAAGGGTCATATCACCTCTTCCAAGAGAAATCCATCAAAAAGTGCAAGTTCTTCTTTGTCCCAGTTGAGCAAGTTGGGGAATTGGTCTTCTGAATCTATAACTATTCCTAGATCCACATGGATCTCAGGACACCCGTAAAGCTTAAGCCCATCTGCAAGGAATCTGAACGTCTCTATGAAGTTCCTTGAGACACCTTCTCTCCCCCATGACAGCACTCCAGAGTCATACCCTCGTGCTATCCCCAACATCATCTTACCTTTCATAGAATCATAGAATATCAGGGTTGGAAGGGTCATCTAGTCCAACCTCTTGCTCAAAGCAGGACCAGTCCCCAATTTTTGCCCCAGATCCTGAAATGACCCCCTCAAGGATTGAACTCACAACCCTGGGTTTAGCAGGCCAATGCTCAAACCACTGAGCTATCCTTCCCCCCTTTCTTCATTCTTCTTTTGGGCGGGAGGGGCAACAAGCACCAAATATGGTGACTGGTCCAGTATTACTTGACATTTCACAATGGCAGTGAGATTGAAAAAGGATGCCATAAGAATGGTCATGTCCCCAGCCTAATCTTGCCTCTCCCCCAGATAACGCCACACACTCCCTCTGAGGCCATGGTAAACTGTGAAGGGGCTTCTTTTGGATTGACTGAAGTAAGTGAATACATTACTGAGGCATTGTCTTCCCATTCCCCAATTCACGCTTTCTTCATTCTGCACCCTACATGATCCTAATCTGGTTCTCCCCGATGTGTGGTACCGGACCAGAAGAATGGTGATACCCAGACTTATTAGATATGTAGACAAATGACCACAGACACAAGTTTACCTTAATTTGTATTTTGGGGGAGGGTTGAATATAAGGAAAAGTAGGTTTGAGTTGCTTTTTCTGAATCTTCCTGTATTTCTCTCTCTACCCTCCACCTCAGGAGAAAAAAATCCTGGCCCCACTGAAGTCACTGGGAGTTTTGCCATTGACTTTAATGGGCCAGAATTTCACCTCTGCATGTAAATTGGTCTTGTCTGCAAGTTAGGCAGTAACCCACAGCATGAATCTACAGTGTACCAGCTTGCCGCACACTAACTTACAGTGTAGACAAGCCTTACACTTGTTTTGCGGTGCAATGAATAGCAAATAAATGCAAGGTGCACTACTTTGCCACTTCCCTCTTTTTTCTGATGAGTTTTAGAAGTGATGTATAACTTACTCCTCTTGTTATGTATCTTCTGAAGTTGGTTCAGAGCCTTTCAAGGGAACTGCGTTTTCTTCACACTAGCTGTTTTTGTGCAATTTTGGCCATTCATCACTTGTAACAAACTCAGTGATCTCTCCCCCAAAATCCCCAGTATGGAAAATGTACTGGTACACACATGCACACCATTTTTTTCTCCATGTCTTAAAAGTTAAATGTTGATGAGAGAAACTCTTTGGGACTGATTCTACATTCCCATTCACCCAATTTTTTTATTCACTTAAATACGGGCATTTGGAGGGAAAATAATGGAAGACTGAGATTTACGTATTTCTAGCAATCTAATCCTAGAAAATAAGCATTATATTTTTAAACATGCAGCTACACTGACAGGACTGACATTTTCAAAAATATTTCCATCACCTTCTGTTTACTTGCTTTGAGATTGTATCAGAATTCTGCAATTGTATTCATACTGCAGTACCATCAACAAAGCAAATGAGAAAACATGAAGCCTGACAAACATTTTTATCACATCGAATTTTAAAGTGCATATCAAATGAAAAATATAAAACCAGATGTAAATTGAAAACTTGACTGAGTAACATCACACAAAACATGCCTTTATCTACATAAATGTATTTCTATATTTGATCATGTTCATGTGGAGCTGATATATTTTTTTTTAAAGTAAATGGCTGTATTTCACTGGATTTCTCAGGAATATATTAGAGCAAAAAAGAAAAGAGAGCATGTCAGAATATATTATAAGAAATGAGAAGTCAGGATTCATGTTCTTTTAGCCGCTATCACTCTATATCACCCAGTGGATGCAAATTGTTGAATTTGCATTGAACTGAATGGAACTACACTGGCTCAAATCAGAGAATGTAGGCCACTATAATCAGATGAATTGTAACATGTAAATGTTCAGATACAAATGTGTGAATCAGGTGTTACTTTTCTTTCAGATGAAACTCAGATGAGATTCATTAAAAACACTTTGATACAAAATTTGAATTAAGACGATCAGGGAGGTTTGGGGGTTGTTTGTTTTTATGGGTTCTGCTGTTGTACTTTATATAGAGCCTGTTTTAACATTTTAGGAGAATGTGAAAGCATCCACACAGTTAAAATATTTTTGTTGCTGATTTATTTTTATTTCTATTTCTCCCTATTAAATGCATATTACTATTTGTGAAATTAGGTTACCAGATGAAAATGTAATGAGCTAAGCAGGAAGCACCTATGTTTAAAAAGCTTTCAGATTCAGGATTTGAATAATGATATTTTGAAGAGAAGGACCTACACAATATATTAAGCAAACATTGTTTTTTTTTCCTCTTAATGTACCTCATGTTTATAGCTATTAGACAAGCTAAACATCTGTTACATTCCGAGCAAATTCATGTTCCTTCCAATACCTACAAATACTAGAAGGAGTAACAAAAGTACATGACAGTGTATTGATTTATGAGATTGCGTGAAAGCACAAACACCACTTTGGTATCTTCCTTCATGTAACATAACCATTAAACTACCAGGTCTGATGTCTGTGACTCCTAGAATGATTGCAAATATTTAGTAATTACTGCTGATTTTAAAATCTTGAAGGCCTGTATATGTAATCACCTCACATATTTTCTTTGTCTAACCCACACAATTAAGTGTCTGATCTCACAACATGCTACATGCCCTTCTCTCCCACTGACTTTATGATTGACTTCAGAACGTGCGAGATCAGCCTTTCCTTTGGAATGGAGGGTGCTCAGCACCTTGCAGGGTCCTAAATTCTTGAAATTCGTTCTTGATGCGTAACTTAATGCTGATGATCAAAAAAGCTCCCTTGACTGTCTATGGTTTAGACAAGCAATGGTATATACTGAAAGGAACAGACGAGTGAAAGGGTCACTTTGTAGGACAACTCTCATTCTCCACCCCAGTGGTATAAGAATGAATACTTACACAGTCAATAAAGAGCAACTCATCAAGACCAAGCATCAGGTAGTGTTCCAAAGCTCACTCCAGCTGGCAGAAGTGAAAAATCTATTTTGAGACACCTGGGACATGAGGAAAGAACAAAATTGCTCTGAGCCACTGTGCTTGCTGATAAATGGCATACAAAGAGAAAAACATTCTCCTCCCCAACACTAGATGTAAAGGCAATCTATAGCACAGTATCTTTCCAAAAGATGTTTCTTACTATTTAAACCCCCTTCTGCCCATGAACAAACCCACTGTGTGGTGTACACACACCTTATAAGAGAGACAGATAGGAAACCAAATTCTGTTTTGCGCTGTGCACACAAGGCCCCCATTGTCTTCAGTAGGTTACATGCAAATTAAGGATAATCTAGTGATAGAAATGATGTCTAGTGGTTAGAGTGCTAGCCTGGGACTCTGGAAACTTTGATTCAATTTCCTGCTTCGCCACATGCTTCCTGTGTGACCTTAAGCAAATCACTCAGTCGTTTTGTGCCTCAACTGCACAGAGCTCAGACAGAGTCAGTAGGGGAAAAAAAAATCTATAAGCGACCTAAAATAGCTTTTCTGTAGTAAAAGCATCAGTTTGAAAAGTCCAAAATCTTGGAAAGTTCCATTCCTGGAAGAAAGTGTTGCATGTCCCTTTGGGAATTCTTCCTTTGCTAATTATATAACCTTCTGATATCTTGTAACAATGAAGAACAAGTAAACAGACCTTAAACCTTTAACTAATGCAGGTCTGAATCTAGCTGATCTTGGGCCTTGGGCAGTTGTAATTTGAGAAGAAATTCCACAGTGAGGGGAAAACAAACAATTTCTCTGTTAGGGTGAAGTTTTGAGGTTGTTGGGCTTTTTGTTTTGTTTTTTTAAATGACAGTTGTTTCAAGCTTCTCAGGGGGTTTGGCATTTGGAAAATAAATCCATTTGGAAAATAAATCCAAGAAGAGATGGATTAATGGGAAGATGGTATGTGAGAAGGCCAAAGGGGCATGATAAAGAGGGAATACATGGTATAGGTTTTATTGGCCTGGGACTGATATTGTCACATTACTCAGGAATGGGACTCTTTTGTACCTCTTCATTTGCAAAAATAATGCATTAGTCATTGTGAGTCTAACTGAGCAGGTCTCAGAAGGAAAAAGTTTAGAAGTGTAAAACATCTCTAAAAAGCATGTAAAATAGCTTTTTGGTACATAAAGCCACAACTTTAAATGTTACTATCTTGGACATGCTAGAGCAGTGATTCTCAAACTTTTGTATTGGTGACCCCTTTCACACAGCAAGCCTCTGGGTGCGACCCCCTTTATAAATTAAAAACACTTTTTTTATATTAAATGCTGGAGGTGAAGCAGGGTGTGGGCTGGAGGCTGACAGCGCATGACCCCCAATAGCCTTGCAACCCTCTGAGGGGTCACAACCCCCAGTTTGAGAACCCCTGCGGTAGAATTAGGAGACAATGTTGTGTGGCCCACTAAGAAGTAGGGAAAGCTCTGATTTCCAATGGTACAAATATTTTGCTTTAGTGCTGCAGGTGTAAAAGTTATCACACCTAAGAATCATGGCATCATTGTGTTTAGAAAAGCTTTTACTGGCCCAAGAGCTGAATTTGTCTCATTGTGGGCTTCAAGCAGGGGTATTTTGTGGGGGAGAAGGAGGAAAAAACATTTTTCTGGCAGGTTGATCTTTAAAGAAAGTTGGATGTTTGAAGCTGTTGAGATTAGAATGTTAGACTAAGTCTCAGGGAGACGAATTAGTGGGCAGGTAGTCTGGCAAAAGGCATGTGATAAATTCCGGAGTTATATGGGAAGTGTATTTATCATAAGCCGAAGCAATTTGTTTGAGGCCCGTCCAATCTATCACATCCTCATGTGAGGTGCATATATTAATAGTACACAGTCCAGATGCATGCAAATGTTCGTGGAATTCCACCCCACCCAACTAACACCAGCCGTACCTGTAATCATTCAGCTAGTTAGGCCAGGTACAGTAGTAAGGCACAGTACACACAGGCATATCATGTGTACTTTTTCTGTAATAAAGTTAATTTTCACACAGAAGAACACTGCAAGCATTTCCTTAAAACTAGCTTACTTCCATTCTTTGTTACTTCTGTCATTTCCTGACACTGGATTGACCTTTTTTGGTTGTGCCATGAAACATCATTCCCTGTTCCTTCCTATCACAGAAGGCTTTACCCAATCCTATGTCTGGATAAACACAGTTGGTAGAGCAGCTTCAAGTGTTTCATGCTCTACCCACTTCAGGTGAATGATGTGCAAGGGACAAAACAGGAAAGCCACTTGTGGCTTTATGGCAAATAACTTGGGTCCATCACTATTGCTCATGGACCTATTGTGCTGTGCTGTCGCTGACTGAGAGCAGCCTGACCTCTTTACTATGTTGGGGATTACAACAGGTTTGAACTGCTTCCGAGGCAGAGGTACCTGAGAATGGGAACTGTTGGGAGAGGCCCATGAGGAACTGTTGACTCTGGTAAGAGCTGTGCCCACAGTGGTGGTTTAGTGCTGCTTAACTTGCCTTACGAGACTGTATTTTACGACTAGCTGTATATTGACTATTTCAGATGAGTTTTTTAAAAAGGGAAACGTTTGTTTTCCTTTATAAACCAGCAAGACCTGTGTTTGTTCTATGACCAGGACCTCACCTATTTCTACATGACATCATACTGATAGCTACTTCTAGCAGGGCAATGAAGGTTGTGATCCGTTAATTACGAAACATAAGGTTGCAAGTCGTGGTGTATGCAGAAGACCTGGTATCTTCATAATATAAGCTTTCTGTACTCTGTAGGGCCTATAAACCATTCATCCATGAGGCTGTGTCATGCAATCAGGAGTGGGATGTTTTATCGTCAGGGGCGGCTCTACCAATTTTGCCGCCCCAAACAGTCACCGCCGACTTGCCACCGCTGCAACAGCGCCGGAGCCGCCACCAAATTGCCGCCGCGCCCAGAAGAGCGGTGGAGCTGCCGCCCAAAAGCTGCCGAATTGCCGCCGTGGGCCACGGACGGCCGCCCCATTCTGAATGCCGCCCCAAGCAACGGTTGGAAAGCTGCTGCCTGGAGCCGGCCCTGTTTATCGTCTGCCCTAAGTAAGCATCTACAGGTGTTATAAGGACAGAAACACTTTAGTTAGGATAAGAAAATAGAATATCTGATAAATATATAATACAATACATTTAAAAGCATTTTAATGTACTGTGTATTGTCCCTGTGAGCATATTACGGTATGTGTTTCTGCAGTCAACTTGGTCTTTGCAAAAATAATTATACATGCAAGGTACCAGACTCACACAGCCCTAAGGAACAGTATACCACCATGTGGCAAAATAATTTGCCTGTATAACAGACAACCCCTTATAAAGACTTTAGAACAACATATTTAGGTACGTTTTAAAAACTCTCTTTTGGGCACCCATGTGACCTGCACACAAATAACAGTGATATGGTAACTGAATTTTGGAGACTTAGCTAGAGTCTTGATAAATGCCTGCAATTGTCCTAGTTAAGTAGCAGCTGATCATATCTGTTCTCATTTATTTAGATGCAAATACACATGAAACATATCCCTACCCTTGCCACTATTTAAAATATATATTAGAATACTAAAGATATAGCACATACCCTACTGCCACCTGGCAGCAGAATATTACAAACTGAAACCTCCCCTCAGGGCTGGCCCACAACATTTTGGCACCTGAGACAGGAAGCTCAAATGATGCCGCCCATACCATCTCGCTTGGGCCAAAACCTTGAAAGGTCTCAATTCTGCCTTCTTCCTGTTCTACTCCTCTCATGGCACTGCTCTGCTACCTTCCCGAGTAAAGGAGAACTAACAACTTAAAATGTCTTGTTCAAAAATTTTAAGTAACACTTAACTTTCAAACGCCTAAACAGCAAATATAACTTTTTTTGTCTGCATAGTAAACACTGGCATTTTTATCTGTTTGAATGATCAAAGTGATGCTTTCTGTGCCTTCTTGGTTGTAAAGATTTGAGCTGCTTCCTGCTGAAGGTCCACAGTCTGGGCCAGCTCATGCTCTATTGAGATGTTGCAAGGCTGACCAGCCTCTCCTGTGTCATTGTGGAGCGTAATGTGTTTTTATTAAACTTCAGCTTTGAGAAGCTGAGTTCTCCACTGGCAACTGTTACAGGAAGTGTTAGAAGTATGCGCAGAATAACAAAAAAGTTTGGAAAGAGGGTGGTCATCTTATTTGTGCACATATATTCCAGAACAGCCTTTGGAGTTGATCCTGCTGAAATGTATCTTGAAAGGGCTTTCAGTTCATCACCTAAATCACTCGCATCAATATCACACATGTCATCATGTGTCAACATTGTCTCTAGTGCCCTGCATTGCTGGTATAGGTCTTCTTCAGGAATAGTGAGGAATTTTGGAATATCATACAACATCCCAAATACTGCTGTGTTCCTTGAGTTGCATGAAACATTCTTCAACTGACTGTATTGCACAATCTAGCACCTGGTTAAAGAATTTAACTTTGAATTGTTGTTTGGGGTCTCTTATGGGATTATCCCATGCCTCATAATCAAAATGTCTTCTGCTTCGGTGACTCTTGTATTCTTCAATGGGTGGTAAAATAGCTTCAGTATGAAGTTCCTCTGCCAACTTCTGTGCACTCTTCAGAATGTTTTGAAATCCCTCATCTGATCGATAAGACTGTAGGTATGACTTTGTTTTGTCCAGTTGTTCCATTGCTCCAGATATATCAAGGTGAACACCTTGGAGTCTCTTGCTTACAACATTTATTTCAAACAGTATGTCATGCCACAACACTAAGCCACACAGAAATTTGAAGTTATGTATGTTTCTGGTGATTCCATTTCCCTCGGCCACTGTACTCCCATGAACAGTTCCTGTCATAGCATTATTCTCCATAATGGCAACTATGGGATCATCTATTTTCCCAATTTGGTGTTTATCGCCTCCACACGACTTTCCCATCATTGGTTTCAATGTCAGAGAGGATGTTCCCAGATGTTGCTTCAAAATTTGCCATCGATGAGTTGATGCCCAGAGAAAAATAAATAGATGCTTTGAATTACATTAAAACATTCAGCAGCCTCACTAGAAGCTGATGCTGCATCACTGACCACCAAGTTCAATGAATGAGAACTGCACGGGATAAAAAAAGCTCAAGGGTTTAACTCTTGGGTCTGTGTCTGCACTCCTCTATTCTTTCCTCCGATATTGGCACCATTACCGTAACCCTGACT